CAGAAGTCATTATAGAGTTTGCATCATGGGAATGGAAGTTTGCCAACCTCCAAAACTGTAAGCCAGGACCTTTTTCAGTGCTGTAAAGAACACTGGCAAAAATAATAGAAGTAGAGAATGGGCCATAATCAAGCTTTAGCCTCCATCCTGGGAAGCTTGTGTGCTATGGAAGGTGTTTTGTGCCTGAGTGAATGGCATATGGGACATTTTTTCTTGTGATCTCATTTAAATTCTGCATAAGTATAAGAAAGGCAAGTGCCTTTTACACAGTATTCTCTTTACTTACTTGAATTAACACATTTTCCTCCCTTATATATGAAGCTTATCATGTATAGTAGAATTTTTAGGTCTATGTTAAACCTACTTGGTATGTATAGTAGATAAATAAGCATATTTTTAATTTTTTTATTATCACTAAGAATGATAAAGCTTGCCAGAAATAATTTTTATAAATTTATTAAATAATTCAAGACTTTTATAGAATATGAATTAGTTTAACCACCCTACCTTTTCTATAGGAAGACTCTAGAGTATGAAGATTGTTAAGCCAGCCCATTGAAATACTTTGTAGTAAGAAAAAGAATCATTAGTCCTTTTAAAAAGAAAGCTGCAGATAATGTCATTCAATACAGTGGCATCTTGTTCAACAAATAAGACTCTCTGGTATTTTCAATAACTACTGAAAGCATCTACTATCTATTTATGCCTGAATTGTGGTAGGTTTTGAGATATACAGATAAATATCATATTATCTTTCTCTCTTTTATTTTTTTAAGAGACAGTCTCACTTTATTGCCCTTGGTAGAGTGCTGTGGCATCACAACTCACAGCAACCTCCAGCTCCTGGGCTTAGGTGATTCTCTTGCCTCAGCCTCCAGAGTAACTGGGACCACAGGCGCTTGCCACAATGCCCTGCTATTTTTTTGTTGCAGTGTGGCCGGGGCCGGCTGGGTTTGCACCTGCCACCCTTGTGGCTCACCTTACTCACTGAGCCACAGGCGCCGCCCCATATTATCTGTTTTTAAAGGGAACTAAAGTTAGGTTTTCTGTCACTTTTATCCTTCAGTCTAAGCCCATGCTCTTCTAAAACCCATAGGTACCTATAGTTTCTAGTGCATCTGGCATTATTTAAGTTCATATGAAAGATATTTTTGGGCTCGGCGCCTATAGCTCAACCGGCTAAGGCGCCAGCCACGTACACCTAAGGTGGCCGGTTCGAATCCCCAGCCCGGACCCGCCAAACAACAATGCCGGCTGCAACCAAAAAATAGCCGGGCGTTGTGGCGGGCGCC